CCCCAAAACCCCAAAACCCCAAAACCCCAAAACCCCAACTATAATAAATATAATTTTGCTAAAAACCCACTGAAGGAAAATGTCAACTAAAAAATCTGAAAAGGGGTCCAAACTAAACGAGAAGGACCTAATCCAGTTCTTCTATTTCCTTAAGGAATATGAGCCTAAATGGAAGGAAATCAGGAAGCTCTTAAAGGAGTTTAGGAATAATAAGTAAGTCATAGCCCGCGCTGGCCTGGTTGGGCGAAGATTTTACCCTAACAGATAATTTATAGCTCTTATAACTACTTTTAGGGATAATACAAAGTTTGGAAATATACCTTCAGTAGACTCAAAAGATTTGTTCACGTTTATTAATGATTATTATGAGCAGAGGGAGAAACTCCCACAAGGTAAGTAACTGTTGATGATAGTAGAAGATGTGGCAATGGCAGCAGAGGAGGGTCATAGTCAGCCTATTAACGCCGATCAAGATGAGAGTATTCTCGATGATAGTCCTAATGAAGAACTTATTGAAGATGAGAAAATACTCAATGATCCTGAAGCACATATGTTGTCAAGTATGTCTAGAGATGGAATGAGAGGTCCGTATGGTATGGATATGACATACCGCGATAAACCAACTTCCAAGAATTATCATAGTCCTGATTCTAAGAAGTAAATCTCAGTTTTATTGGTTTTAGTTCTCAAGAAAATCAGAAAGAGTCGTTAATACAAAACGTTCAAGTGAGTCCAAAGGAGAGATTTAATCTACGAATGAAAGCAAAGAGTAGCTCTAGTAATTCAACCCCTTCCAAATTTAACAAGTTTGGCGGAAGTAAGTGAACTACCTAAAAATTAGATTACAAACAGAGTACTTCTATCAAAAGATGGAGAAAAAGAGACTCTACCTTCATCCGAAGAGGGATTGAAGGTATGAACCCATACTGTATCATCAGAGAAGAATCAGACGACTACCAATGGTATCCGATATCTCTCACACTTTTAGGGCAAATAATGGGTATTCTAACAATCCTGCTGACATGAAGCGAGATCCTTCCAAAACCTACTCCACTCTCGTTGCCAAATGGTGAAGATACGAATATTTCTATTCTAATCTCGACAAATGATATTTTTCAAGGAACAAATTTAAAGAGATTCTTGAAGACTTACAAATCGAACAAGAAGTCTGACTGAATAAGTTAGAATGGATTATCCTAAGGAAAGCCATCGATAAAGCACTTAACCCTCACACCGGCAAGAAGAGACGATTCAGCGATGCCTTGATCAAAGAAGAAAGAAGCCATCTTGCAAGGTTCAGGGAGATTTATAGAGAAATCATGAAGATATTAAGCAAAAATAAAAATAACTTCAAGAATATTGAGAAACTTGTCTGTCATCAATATCTTATGGACAAGGAGGAGGACATCAACGAAGAAGAAGTGAGAATAGTTCTTAATCAGATTAAGAAATTCAATACCACTCCATTAGAAGTCGGACAGAGGTTTAAAGTCTTAGCTCTGCATCCCAGAACGGGAACTTTGAATACAGGAACAATTCTGACTTCTAATATCGTATCTGCCCATATTCAGTTTGACAGAGAAGATCTTGGAGTCTGGCTAGTTAAAGGTAAAGAATTGTTATCAAACTTCTAGATTATAACATGGTATCTTTCAAGAAGATACAGAAAGCTAATGGAAATGGACAACTCAATGCAAACGATATTAGAAGCATCCAATTCAACTCAGCAATGAAATCTTTGCTTAAATAACGAGCAGATTCAGTCATTAATCCCAGCTAGCGCTTCTGAGGTGAGCTTATCACTTTATTATAGAACGGAGAGCCAAATGTAAAGTCGATGGCAATGATGACTCTATTATTACAAAGGAAGACAAGAATCCTTGACGAACTTCAAAGGATGAACGAGATATTAGAAAGCAACCCAAGCGCGAATGAGCATGAAGAGTTTAAACAAAAGTATGCCTGGGTCTCACTCCAACTACTTGTGACGAATGCTATAATCGAGCCTGTCCTGAGCAGATTCACGAGCTAAATCACATCTTGATAAAATTTCTATTTTCAATATTTCTCAAAGCTGAAGGGGTTTTGGGGTTTTGGGGTTTTGGGG